TATCTCTTTAAACGATAATATCTTTAAGATTATATATATCTTAGTCTAATTAAATCGATAACTATAATTAAGATATTTAAAATATTAATCTTCTTTCTTTAACTAATTCTTTAGCTATTTTAAATAAAGTAATCGCTATAAGCTTAATTTAAACTTCTATTTATTAATCTCTTTTATATTTATATATATAGTCTTTAATTAATAGAGATCTTAATTAGTCTTTCGTAAATACTTAATAACTAAGCGAAAGAAAGATAATAAGATATCGATAATTTATAATTAAAGCTTAAGAGTAATAAGTCTTCGTAGTATAGCGATCTTATAACTTTCGCTATAGTCTAATAGCGTAATAATAGCTGAAAATCGAGTATAGAACTCGTTAAATATCTTCTTCTTTTTTATAATAAACGCCGAGTTATAGAGTAAGATATTATTCTTTATTAGCTTATCGTAATTATTAAATATACTATAAAGCTCTAAAATTATCTCTTTTATAGTATTATAGAGATTCTCGCTTAGTAAATTTACTCGTATCTTAAGTATATCGAATATAATTAACTTATAGTAGTCTCGAATATAATTTATTTTATCTTTTTACTAGAAAATAATACGATACTTTATCGAAACTTAAAGTTCAGATGAAATCGCTACTCGTCTTACTTCTCTTTTTTACTATAGAAGTAGAGTATATTAGAGTATTTCTTATTATTTCCGATAATAAGAATAGTAGAAATAGATATTCCCGTCTTAGTAACTTCTAATTTAATTAATTATTTATCTATATCGAAATTTAGAGACTCTATTAAAGTAATTATTTCTTCTTTAATAATTAAGATCTAAATTTTAGTTCTATAATTTCGTATTCGTAGTAGTAAGAGTCTTTATATTAAAACGATAAAGGTCTCGTAACTCTCGAAGTCGTATTATAATTATATTAAGATTCTAAATAATAGTATTAAGATTATAAATCTAGGCCTAATAATACTAAATCGTTAATAACGATTTAGAACGAGTTTCTTCTTAATTCGAGTTCATAACGAATTAGATAGAGATCTCTCTATTAATGTAGATAGATAATAAATAAGATAAGCGAGAGATAGTCGAAATATCTCCTCGTAGAGGCTGAGTAGATAGATAGATAGAGAATCTCTCTACTAATATAGGTAGGTAATAGGTAAGGTAAGCGAGAGATAGTCGAAATATCTCTCCGCAGAGGTAGGGTAGATAGATAGATAGAGAATCTCTCTACTAATGCAGGTAGATAACAGATAAGGCAAGCGAGAGATAGTCGAAATATCTCCTCACAGAGACAGGGTAGGCAGGCAGGTAGGGAATCGTCCGAATATCTTCTCCACAACAAGGCGATTAAATAATCGATATTCGAGAGATCCTCGCAGGATAGGATAGGCAGGCAGGCAGGCAGGTAGGGAATTATCCGGATATCTCCTCCACAATAAGGCGATTAAGTAGTCGATATTCGAGAGATCCCCGCAGAATAGGGCAGGCAGGCAGGCAGGCAGGTAGGGAATCGTTCGGATATCTCCTCCACAACAAGGCGATTGAGTAGTCGATATTCGAGAGATCTCCGCAGAGCAAAGCAGGCAGGCAGGCAGGCAGATAGGGAATCGTCCGAATATCTCCTCTACAACAAGGCGATTAAGTAGTGATATTTCGGTATTAGAGATCCAGGGCAGAGCAGATAGGCAGGCAGGAGCAGGCAGGCAACAATAGCTTAGCTCACAACTATATTAAATAGTTAATATTATATCAGAAAATGAATCGTATATCGAATAATAATATTAGTGGTATTATATAAATAAAATATTAACTATAAAGATTGCTAAGTAACATATATATCGAAGTTATTAGAGTACTAAGCCGTTAAGAAGCTAGCCCGAATAAAGCCTAGCGCAAGTCTGGAGAAGAAATGCCGGTTGAAATTATGATAAAATATTATAAAAATAAAACGCTATCGTCTATTTTAATCGTTTATTCTAGAACTAGAAAGAGATATAGATAATAAATAATTCTTAAGTTAAGATTTAGCTCGTAGTTAATTTAAGCTTTAACGCGATTATTAATTATCTTATAATTTAAAAAAATGAGCGAATATCTAATATTAATATTAGACTATATTCGAATACTTTTTACTTATAAATCTTAGAAATAAGTTATTTAATAATATAGAGATATTAATAGATTTAGCGATAATTTAATAAGTAAAAGAGATTTATTAAATAGTTAACTTCTAGAATATATAAGTAATTAAACTTTAGAAATTTAATATATTATTTAGATTCTCTAAAGACTTAGCTTCGAATATCGTCTAAATACGCGTCGGTCGCACCGGCGGTACAGAACTTTCTGACACGAGTGGACTCCCACGCCCGTCGTCAATCTTAATGGCTAAGACACGGCTCTCGATACATGCCACCCCTACCTCTCTGGGCTCCTTCGGCGCTTCAATATGGAGCTCCAAGAGAAAATGAACAAATTGGGAGAATGGAACTCCTCTCGACCCCTACCGCCACCCCCTCAATACTTCAGTTGGAGAAATCGCAACTACGCAACCCGTCTAGCTAAGCAACACTAGAAACCAAATAATCGACCGAAAGCGTCGCAAGTTAGACGGGTCCATGTGCTGTGACATCTTGAGCGCTGATGTTGAGCCTCCAGGGTACAGGTGGCCGTGTAAGAATGACAAGCTGCAACCAAACTCCTTTCGCTGCTAAGTGTACCTTTGAGCACTACAAGGCTCGTCGCTAGCTTTTTGAATGGTCTGGAATAGAAGCACCTTCAAGTGCAGGTGCCTCCAGGATTCTCTCAATAGGGTCACGACTTGCTTCACCGTGCGTGCTTGAACAAGTGCACTTTCGGCGATCGCTGATGGATGATTATACCGGGGTGACAAGGCGTTGGGAGGCACGGTCAACATTTCCAGCTTCACCTGTGGATTCGGTATGGTTGAGGCATCTCTTCGAGGACCGTGGGACGACACACCTCAAGATGATTGCGTAGGGGTCACTACCGTCAAGGTGGCTTACTTGTGGGTACCCAGCATCCATAGCTCCCAGACTGGATGACGGCTCTTCAAAACAGCTTACTTTCGCCAGCACCATACCTCCATTTACAGACCGATCTGCCATGCTTACTCCTGTAACGACTACCATAATCCAGTGAACAGAAACTTCCTGCTTGCTCTCTCTGCAATTCAGGTCTATCATGCACAGCTTCTTTACCTGTGCATGTCACGGGGTGAAGTCGGCCCGTAATGTCAAGCATTGCTGAGATTTTCGCCAGGATCTTCGTTGAGCGAGTATTTATGTGATGTTCTTTTTTATTTTGTCTCATCCCTTAAGAAATCTCAGGCATCTATTTGTACTTTCTTCCTTATCTTCCGTCTTGTACATAGATCAGACCCTAAAAATAAAAATCATAACTAGTGATAGTCAGCATCCCAGCCTCAGTCCTTAACACTGGAAAGAAACATAAAAAAATGTGAGAAAGTAATCGTCCAAATGTTACCCTAGCAAGGTCAAATTGCAACAACAGCCAGATTCTTTGATTTGCTGAAATGCTTCAACGCGAGTGTAGAATTTTTTAAGAGAGCAAAGTTGTACAATCTCGGTCAAAAGACTTCGAGCTCCTGGCGACCTACCCCATCATGAAACTGTCTCTTAAAACCTTTGCAAGAACCTTGGCGCTATTGAGATACTCATCTTCTTGCTCGGGACGATGTGATAACCTGGACCCAGAAGAGTGGGCAATGGTATTTCATCTCGCCGTCTAGGATACCAGAACACGCGGAGAAACCAGCCTACGGCATTCTTCAAGCCAACACTCCAAGTGGAAGTTGAAGCTAACGATCCATTGACACAGCACTGCACCCAAGGTCGCCGAGGCGCCATGAATTATGGGCGTACAGAGTGTGAAAAGGTTTTAAAATGGCCTTTACCGAACTTGAATCTATGCTAATTGTGAAGGTCCTCTTGTTTCATCGGGCTGATGCTATCTCCTATAATGATTGTACTTCATACCTGTTGTTCAAAGCAACAGCAAGTGATCAGATCAAATAGTCTCAGTGTGAGGGTCTTGCTGTTCAATTGCAAGTAGCAATAAGTGTCCAAAATCTTGAGACGAGTCAGAGGAGATGCGGAAAGATGGGAGCTAAGCACAGAGCAAGCAAGAATACAGCTCCGTGGAAGCAAGCTGCAGCGTATGGGAACCATCTCATACCTTGGCATATACGACAGTACTATTAGCCTACAAAACAATCTAGACGAGGATAGCTAAGCTTTGCGACACACACTCACGGTACTGCCAGCGGTCTAATTCTAGAGAGCTACCATGGCTGACTCCAATGATGGCTTTGAAGTTTGAATGGGTTTCACGTCTTTCAAGTCGTCCGAGTTTAACGCGGGCCAACTTGACATGAGACAGGTGCTGCACGCATGAATGGACGAGTTGAGAATGCACAATCTCGCATCAAAAAGAGAGGGGCAACGGATCATGACATTGAACCCATCAACGCTGAGACCTTGTTGGACTGATATCACGAATGTTGTTCTCTAAATGCTTTTGCTTTCTGGTATCTAGTCATGGGTCGCAGCACATTTTGCAACCGAGAAAATACTTTCGCTAACATCGCGCAACGTGCTCCATGACTAAACTCTCTTCTTGATGAAAAATTGCTGAATAACAGACCTCCAGGCGGCATGCTTTGAGGGTGGACCCGCCGTAGAAGCTTGCGTCTGAGACTATCATGGCTATTTAGCGGTCTGTATGTCGTTTTGTTCCTGGCGACACAAAGGTTACTTCGTTGTATCACATTCGAGAAAACTCGGAGGCGGCTGGAAGTTTTCTCGAGACTGCGCGGGTCTTGTTTTTCCACTAGTGAGCTGCGCTTACAGGACTTTGGTGTGATGGCAATTTCGTATGTTAAGCCCCTGGTGGTGCTACACCCTTATCTCAAGATCCAAGCGCCACAAAGAGTATCTTGTTTATTCGAGAGTCTTAATTTCTGAAGGATCGCTAGGAGGTGTGAAGAAATCGGTCTTTGTGCGCTCCATCTGAGCAGGAGGTGTAGGCATGCTGATTTTTTCTGGCGGTCCTCCATTCTGAAGGTGATGTTGCAGAACGCCACCTGCGGGGACTGGTTGATCGTGTAGAGATGCAACGCTGAGATCTGCGTTCGGGGCAGGTTGGATACCCGTAGGTTGGCTTGAGGGCGTCGCCTGGCCTTTGGAGGCAGGGCGACCGGGTAGTGCTGTTTGATTGTGATGTGTGAATGGCCGACTTGCGGGCGCACCCACAGTCTCGGTTCCCTGACGCTGTGTATGTCTGCTCGAACTTGTGGCAACGCGAACAGCAAGAGAGTGCAGCGTTGCGACGGCCTCCTTCCTTTGTTTCCCGTCGATGCTTCCCACGCCCAAGGCTGTCATCTCGTCGTCTCCAGCATCGATCCATCTGACCGGTGCTGAGAGAAATAATCTTTCTGCATCTGAGCCTGCTGCTATGCTGAGACAGTCTCTAACTTGTTGGTCTAAAACTGGTGTTTTCCCGCATTCAAAGTCCAATTCCCCGCCGTACTTCATGGGTATGTTTGCGATATCGATGAAGGATATTAAAGTAGGTAGGACTTGTTTGTGAGAGAGGATGAATATTTTGGAGGTAGTAATAGGGTCGAACCATTTCTTAATCCAACCCCAGACAGTTGGGAAGAATGAGGGTGCACCGATAATCTGGGGAGTCTAGTCAGCACACACCATTCAGTGGCATGTCGGGTAGCAACTCACGAATATTCGATCCAATGTTTCGGGGTAATGAGCCGTAGCCAGCGTGCTTGCGTCCTGCATATGACTCTTCAGATTCCAGAATTGCTTAAGTCCTACATGTGAAATATCGACAATGTTGTTCGACTGGTCGACGGGTGTTTCAGGGTTGGGTCTTCCGGGTACCGCAGAGCATAGGGGCATGACAAACCGAGTGAGGTTCTCATACAACGCGAAAAGCCGGAGCATCCTCGAAGGCGAGGGACCTTTTTCCTTGGATTTGGAGGTGGAGGAGGAGTATGCTATCATCTTTTTGGAATCTAGCTTGCCAACTTCGTAGAGATAGACGGGAATGCCACGTCTGTCTCGGCGACCAGTCCATTGTGGGTACTTTGAGAATCAGCGTTCCGTGCAACTCATCTCGAAGAGCCTCTCTAGCTCACGACACTCCTAGCCTCCTGATAGTCATGGATATCTATTTTCTCATAAAGAGCGTCCAAGTCGTTATCCTTGCGCCATATCTCTGTGTCTTTGAACTGGGCAAAGGCCTCTTGAGGGACGAACTTTCGAGCTCGTAGGTAGCGGCTGGAGAAGGATTAGCGGTGGGCCAGTAGAGGTATGTGAAATGCATACATGAGGGTACCATCGTCATGACTGGCTTTCTTAACGTCGGTAGCAGGAGTATAGAGGCCTTCTTTTGCGGCCAGCTTCCTGAACTCCTCAAATGCCGACTCTTCTCCTGTGGTGAGATGCCCAAGGTGACCTTTCAGCCGGGCCTCAGCACTGGCCGCTTCAGCTGGTGGAGGCTGATGCTGATAATCAGGTGCAGCATCCATGGTCATGATTTCCCAACGTCAATCGGAGGTCATGGCCTGGTGGTGGTTCGAGTACGAGTATTTGAGCTCAAGTGAAATGACGCACTGGATTATTCATTACGTAGGGCTGAAAGGAGTCGGCACTGAAACATTCCGGACGCCAAGGCCTCCTGCGCCAAGATGTCGGATAACCGCCCCACCGGAAGAAGACCCGCCTGATAACGATAATGGCCAATATTGCCCGTACAGTAGTCGGAAGGGGCTTCCTGCGGGGGCGTTTTTTTTCTCTTTTTTTTATAAAATTTTTTTTTAAAAAACTTAAAAAAAAATAAAAAACCACCCCCATAAAAAAAAAACCCCCCCCCCCCCCACAAAAATAAATTTTTTTTTTTTTTTTTTTTTAATTTTAATTTATAATTTTTTTTTATTAAAAAAAAAAAAAAAATTTTTTTTTATTTTTTTTATATTTTTTTTAAAAATTTATTTAATAAAACTATATTTTTTTTTTTTTTTTTTTTTTTTTTTATTAAAATAAAAAATATTAAAAATAAAAATAAAAAAAAAAAAAAAAAAAAAAAAATTTTAAAAAAAAAAAAAAAAAAAAAAAATAAAAAAATTATTAAAAAAAAAAAAAAAAAAAAAAAAAAAAAAAAAAAAAAAAAAAAAAAAAAAAATAATTTTTTTTTTTTTATTATTAATAAAAAAAAATTTTAATTATAAAAAAAAAAAAAAAAAAAAAAATTATTCTAGCGAGTATTAGAAATCTTCTCGAGAAATTAGCTTATTACTATCGCCTTAACGTCTTAAATTTCTTAAGAATTCCTCTTAATAATAGTTTTACAAATTTTATAGTCTTATTATTAGAATTTTATCGAAGTATATCTTCTTTAAATTAGTCTAAAGCTCTTATATAGTTTAATACTCTTTCTAGCAATATTATAAAAGCAATTATATCTCGCTCTATATTTACTATATATAATAATTTCTCTAAGATTACTAATATATTAGTATTAAAGTAACTTCGAAAGTTTAATTTTAATATAAAGAATTATTAAGATAAAGAAGATCGTTTCTCTCTAGTTAAGTATCTGAAATATCTCGATATATTTCTTATCGACGATGCTTTCGAGTAATTAGAAAGTTACTTAAAAGCTATTCGACTTTTTATTAAAGTAGAGTATTTTAGTTTTTAATAAATAATCTAGTAGTTTTAAACTATATTTTATAAGAAGTTTTTCTTAAAAGCTATAGAAGTAAGTGCGATCTTTATCGATATCGAGATTATAAATCTATATTAACGTTTTAAAGAATTTCTTACTTTTTATTTTAAGCGTATTATTAACTTAATATAGAGAGTTAAGATTAAGAATAGACTCGCTACTATTTCTAATACTATCTTTAGTCTTCTTAAATCTACTATACTCGATATTATTCTCTATATATTTATTAGAGAATTAAATAATTAAGAGATTTAAAAGAAAGTAATAAGAGGTATAGTATCTTCTAATAGATCTTTATATATGATTTATAATCTTATAGAAGAAGTATAATATATTAACATCGAAATCTAGAAGTTTTTAAATAAAGAATCGAGATTCGACTAGCTATAGTTCTATAAATCTCTTATAAAACGAAACTTATTAAAGTAGTAGATGATTTTCTTACTTGCTTTTTATTAAGCTACTAAAGCTTTAAGGCCCTTATATTATTAATCTTAGTTTTTTTATACGAATTCATCGAAGTAGCTATTAGAGACTTTTATAAGATCTTAATATTTTATATAATTTTAATCTCTAGAGTATTATTATTCTTTATACGAAGTTTCGACTTTTACTTTAGCTTCGACTTCGATCTTAGCTTAGAATTTTAATAAAGAAAACGTTAGTAGAAGCGAACTCTCGAATTCTATAGCTAATAGTCGCTTTTATAATTATTAGTTTATTTTAAAAGATATACTCGATTATAGTACTTCGAAAAACTCTTATATTAATAATATAATTTATTAGTCTTATAGAAAAGATAGTTAGCTATATATTAAGTGTGATATTAAGAATTATATCTCTTCTTATTATAAGAATACTTTACTATCTACTTAGAAATAGTTATATCTAAGAATACTTATTTTCGAGAATAATCTATAATTAAACTTTGCTTTCGTTAGATTTGAGGAGTTTAATGAATCTTCTAAATCTTACGAAATTATTTCTTCGCCGAAGTCTTCTATAGCTTCTTCTTCTTCTTCTTCTACTAGATCGAGTTAAGTAACGCCTTTAAGCTCTATAAATTCTTATATTTTATCTTATTTTAATTTAGTGTAGTTTGAAGTAATAAGGCTAAATCGATCTCGTTTCGCTAATGTAAAAATCGCTAAAGCTTTTCTCGGTGAAGGATTAGAATCTAATAAGCGAGCTTATATAAAAGAAGTATTAGTACTAGTATCGATATCTTAGCGATAATAAAAAAAGCAATCTAAGAGGCTTTAATTAGTATTTATTTAATTATAGTAATTTATATTATAGTAGTTTTAGATATCTTAGTATTAGTAAAAGTAGTTTAATATTAATCTAAATTTCGATACTTCTTTCTACTCGCTATAAGTTTTTATTTAAGTAGATTTATAGTAGCCTTCGATAGCTATAGATTAAAGATCTTCTTTCTAGAATTAACTATATCTATTTTAAGCTATTTTGAAAGAAGAGTATCTTAAATATAAGAGTAAGAAGCGAGTTAATAAGAAAGTAGAATCTTAGCCTTTAATAGACTTATTTAATAGATTAGAATATAATTCTCTTATATTAATTTAATATATACTTAAGAGTATTAAAGTTAATATGAGTATAATGAATTTTATAATATAGTTATCTACTATATATAAGAAGTTAAAGCGTTTTTATATTTAGATTTTTAAGAAATAAACTTTAAAGTCTACTGCGGATGCTACGCAAGCTTCTTTAATTAGCTTTTAATCTACTTTTATCTAATAAATTTCATAGATATCTATATTATCTTTAGGATATCTATAAGTCTATTAATTTATATTAATATTTTCTTTTATATTAGTACTATAAGTATCTATATCTTAGCCTTCTTAATAGACTTTAGAAAACTCTACTATATTAGTATTCGTATTTTAGATTAATATTTTTACTATAAAAGCTAAGAAGTATATACGCTTTCTAAGCTCTCTTATAGATGTAAATAAGACGTTTCGTATTTCTATTATTATAAGGAAATAGAATAGATTCGACGTTAGTCTCGAGAAATCTTATATTTAGATAAATTAAGATTTCGATATAAATGTAATATCTTCTAAACTAATATACCTTCTAGATCTATATCTCTATCTACTTTCGAAGATTAGATTTAAAGATCTTTTCATATATATAGCAGATTATTATAATATTATACTAGAATATTAGATATAGCTTATAATTAATATAAAAGGAATTTAAAGAAATATTCGATACTTTATAACTTCGAAAGTTGTATTCATTACGAAATTAGAAAGATCTAAATATCTTAGTCTAATTCTCGGAATTCTATAGCTTTAAACTATAAATACTTTTATTTCGATTCGCTTTTCTATTATTTTCCTAGGAGATAGATCGGAAGACGAGGAAGTTCGAAGAATTATGGGTTTGGAAATAATTTTCTATAAAGATTATAATTTGTTAATATATTCTAAGTTCGCTATAATTATTTCGAAGGCTATTAAGTAGAATAAGTTAAAGGCTTTCTTTAAGAAAATTAATTCTTTAGAATTTAATAGTTTTTTTAATTTTAAGGATAACTTATTAGATATTAAAGAGATTAAGCGTTAAGATTTTTAGTAAATTAAGTCTATCTTAAGTAAAATATTAAATTACTAAAGTTTATAAAAGTTTATCTTAAAGATTTAAGCCTCTTAAGTATCTTTATTATTATCTTTAAAGCTCTTAATTCTTTTTTTTTATTAAAGTAAATAACTATTATAAGCTTTTTAGATTAGTTTATTAAAGTCTTTAATATTTCGAAAACGCTAATATTATTATTTCTATAGATATCTCTTAAGTAAGTATTTTCTACTAGAAAAATAATTCGCCGAAGTTTTTTATAGTATTTCTTATTACTAGAACTTAAAGAATAAATTAATAAACTAGAATTAAAATTAGTTCTTAAATCGCTTATTATTATAGTAGAGTAGAGACTATAAGTATTACGATTATTATATTAATATAAATATCTTAATAGAGAAGATCTAAGAGATCTATCTTATATGAATCTTATTATATATCGAGTATATATTATATCTAATACGAAGTCTATTTTCTCGAAATCTTAGAAACGCTAGCTTATTTATACGAAGTAATAGCTAAGAAAGCTCGTTTAAGACGACCTTAAAGGTAATATCTACGAATTTACTAAACCTGCGAATAAATATCTATCTTTATAAAATATACGGGCTATTATAATAGATAAAGTCGAGGATCTAAAATCTACTAACGAGCTCTAAATAACTTTCGATTATTCTTATATTATAAAGCTTTTTTTAAGAGCTTATCTTAAGCTAAGCTCGAAAGTTTATAATTATCTATCTAATTTACGTTATAAATATTTATTCTTAACTAATTTAAAGTATATATATCTTATAATATCTCTATATTCTAATAATAGATATTACTTTATTTTTATTATTTTAGATATTAATTAGATATAGTCTATAAGAATATAATAGAGATTATAATTTATAGACTTTATTATAATAAAGCTAGCTTATAGAGTATTTAATTCTATTTCTTCGAAATCTTCCTTACTATATTTATTAGATTTTAAGATTTTATCGCCTTTTATATTTTATATAGATGACTTCTTTAATAATTTCTACGACTTTAAGAATCTATTTTTCTTTCTATAGTATTACTTCTTTTCTAGAGTCGAGTAAATTAAGTTACTCTTATTCTTTAAGAAATTATAATTATTTATATTATTAATTAAGGCCTTTAATATAATTTATATTATTAAAAAATATATTTATATTTTTAAAGAAT